ACTAGAATGCAGAGGTCACAAATGCCCAAGCTGTCCTTGGGCAAGCTGACCCCACACATGCACTTTGGCCCACCTGATGTTTGAAGACTTCTCAGCGAACATTTAGAAATTTGTGAGATTTGACCTGCAAACCTGAATTTCTGATTTCTTCCCAGACATCGTAAGAGCCCCTCACATGGAGCATCCCTCTGCCACTCCCAGCATCACACTGCGCTGTGTCTCCTCACATATGGTGTCCTTTGCTCACGGCCCGACCAGCCAGGTTTCCTGGTCACCAACGTGAAGGACACACCTCTTGTTCCATTTCCTCAAAAAGCTGCTGACGTGCTAGGTGAACATGGCCGTCAAGAGACATGGCTGGAACTGCTCAAAAGGAAACTGCATCTCTGGCTTAGGCCATCCTTCCGTCCTGCTGGCCACAGGGGGATGTGAGACTCAAGGGCTGCAAAGGCCTCTTGGGGCCATCGGGTGCGACCCCTTCCTTTTAAAGATGGGGAATTCGAGCCCAGAGAGGAGCTTGGCTTGACCGGAGCCAGGGAAGCCGGGACCAGAACTGTCTCATCAACATCCCTTCATCCAGGACCCCGTCACTATAAACCCGCGAGGGCCCCCGTCTTCAAAGCTGAACTCAACCAAGGCAAAGAGGGACAGCAGAGGGAGTCATGTCTCTCGCCATCTGTCTCCTGTGTTTACGGAGACATACTTGTAAGGACTCAGAAACACGCCCGGGAACTCGGTGCACAGAGACAGGCACAGCAGCTTCCTGCAGACGTGACGGGGGTGGCACTCAGCAGTGCGAGCAAGTCTCTGCCACCTCGATGGCCCCTCGATGCCATGGCTACCTCTGCTGTCTGTCCCTTCCAACCCTCGCTCATTGAATCCTCACAACACCCCTGCGCTTAGATAAAGCACCCACCCACCCTGCGGGAGTGAGCTGCCGACTCCTGTCTCCAAAACGAAGTTTTCTCACGTAACACAACTATGGGCCCTGGCGAGGGAGGGGACAGAAATATTTCGGCTCGTTTCCCTCCTTTCGGTTAGGACCAATCCCCAAGCAGTGCTGCTGTTGGCTTGACTGTGGTTTGACCAGATCTTCTGGAAGGCACACAGAGTGCACCTAATGCCAGAATCCTCACAAAACCTCTCCTTCCCGTGCTTTCTCATCCCAGGCGCCCGGACGAACAGTCCCGGTCCCGGGCCCGCCACCGTGCCCCCAGCCGCACAGAACGACACGGCTTGCCACCCCACAGTCGGTGCTGCCGCAAAGCAAAGTGGGTCATGTGCGACTGGCAAACAGGAGAATGATGTCAGGAGCACGGGGAAGTCGGGCTGGCTCAGGCACGATGTTTCTCGGTGTGTGAATGTTTTGTGCCAGCCAGCGGAGGCAGCTGAACACAAAAACCACGAACAGCCCAACACAGCAAGCTGCCAAGGAAGACAGCACGGGACACCGTGCCCATTGGCTCGCCCGCTCCCTTCTCTTGGCTCAGTCCGGAAGGGTTTGGTGGGCAAGTCTCTCTTTCTGCGCTTGGAACTCGTCTCCACCTGTACATCAAACAACCTTCACCTTGTTTTACAGGAGAAAATTATACAATTGTTCCAACATTTATTAGGAATTCAACATGTGTTTTTTTTTTTAAGACTTTATTTATTTGAGAGACAGAGAGAAAAAGAGAGAGCATGAGAAGGGGGAGAGGCAGAGGGAGAAGCAGGCTCTCTGCTGATCAGGGGGCCCAACGCGGGGCTTGATCCCAGGACCCTGAGATCATGACCTGAGCCGAAGGCAGATGCTTCACCGACTGAGCCACCCAGGCGCCCCTAACATGTTTTTTAACTGTGCTAGATTTTTAGAGGATTGTTACTACATTTGTTAGCATTCTAGTTCAAAGCTGCATAGGTTTCCAGTGCTCTGCCCCGGCCTTATTCTGCCCACCAGCCCGGGGTTGCCATGCGATTTTCCCAATTTAGAGGTTTCCCAGGAACATATACATCCTGCTTGAGCAGAGACACCCACACTTATCTTTTACTTTTGGCCTGATTTGCTGGTTTTCCATTTATGGTAGAGGGCCAGTTTTTAAAGAAAAATATTAAGCTAATAATAACACGCACGGTGCAGAGGCAGTCCCTGACCCACTATGGTTTACGGGGTAGAAACCTGACACAGCGTGGGCACAGAGCAAACCCAGCGACGATACCAGTCCCAGGACTTCGGAACACACAGTGCAGACGACATCCGGACAGAGGATCCTTTCACGCTGAATCCCTCAGCAGCACTGGGGGGATGTGGGAAGAACTCAGCAAATGATGTTTGTTACTATTGCCACCCTTATTTATAGAAGAGGCAAGAACAAAATAAACGGAATGTTTCCCCTCTATTACCAGGCAGAACAGCTCATTGGACATCCATTAGCAACGGCAAAAGCAGTTCAAATAAACTTGCTTTGCATTAACCCTGCATAAGCACTGGTTGCCCAGCATCAGCAGGAATTACTAATTACTAGTCTGAAGCCCAGAAGGATAAAGGACTAGATTTATTATAAATGCAGGGTGTGCGCTCGTGCAGAGATGACTCGCTTTACCGCTCATGACGTGCACTGATTTACGGCACGACGTTCTCACTGTGCCGCTTTTCCAGTTTCTAGTGCTCTAAATGAGACGCAGATGAAGAAGGAAATTAGAAATCTAACTTTGGCATGGTTCAAAATAGTTTGTTTCCATCCCAGGAGAGCAGAGATGACAGGTATCTTTCCTGTCATTTTCTTCTAAATTAGGGAGGCGGGATCTGGGCTGACGGATGCTTCTGGTCACAGCCTCACGGTCAGACACTGGGACCAGCCCTCTCCCTTCCCCTGAAAAGTCTGCAAGTCTCCCCACGGCCCTCCTGCCTCCGGGCTCCCCTGCCTGATCTCCTCCTCCCTCCAGATCTGGAGAGATCTTTCTGATCTGACTCCATCACACTCCAGCTTAAATACGTTTGTTGGATGGCTACAACTTCAGGGTCAAGTCCAGATGCACAGGCACATGTCGTGAGTCCTTGCTAACCAAATCCACACTGCCGGTCCCAGCTTAGCCAGCTTAAGCTTAACCCACACATTGCTACTTACCATTCTTCATGCACACCATGCTATTTCACATTCTTCAGGGGCCAACGCCTCCGCCCAGCCTGCCCTCTTTCACTTCACTGCCTGGAAACTCTGCTAAGCTCTTAAGGCCACCTCAGGGGACACTGGGTCACGTTCCCCACACAGAGGTCTCACAGTCCCTGTGTGCCCTCCCAGAACTCATCAAAATGACACACATCATAGCTGTCTCTTTGTCCAACTGTCTCCCTTCCACACTACTTCCCTGAGGCATGACCCTGGGGACTGAGCCATCCCTAGGTCCTCAGGGCCTAGCATGGGGTCAACAAACAAATGGAAAGCAATCCATATTGGATGTGGACAGTAAACAAACGCTTCACAGATTCATTTTCTGGAACGTCCTCAGGAAATGGTTATCTATCTACCTTCAGAGCCTCATGCCTGAACAATCAGTCCTTTGTCTTGGCAAGTTCAAGGCAGAATTCCAATCCCATGCATAGGAGAAGCAGAAACAGGGAAACCCAAAGTCCCATCAGATCCTGTCCCCTAGGGCCAAGGATTTGCAGGGTGGGTATGGAGGGAACAGACCAGCGTCTTCGTAAGGGAGGCCCAAGCCCCTGGGCAGGATGGCATTGATCGGAGGATGGCCTGGTTTTCAGCAGTGGTGTAAAATGCCCGATTTGTAAAACCCCACTGTGGTCCCCGAGGCCCAGCCAATGCGGAGACCCAAGTTAAAGAACCCAGGTGCCCCCCCACCCGGTGCTGTCCATGGTGCTGACTTCCAGCCTCCATTGCACTAGGGCCTCAGCACCTCCCTCCCCATCTGCCTTCACCTCCAAGCCTGCTGGCTGAGCTGACAGCCACTGCCTGGATCCTTTCTCATTGTATTTCCCCTGAACATCCTTTTGAGGGACAGCCCGGCTTCTTTGTCACCCTGTCTAGAAGTGGACTCTGAGGCAAGGTTCTGAGCAGAAGTGATTAGTTCATGTTCCCAGGAAAAACGGGGAAGAGCGTGGGGAGTTGGGACCAGGATGGAAACGAGGTCAAGAGGGCAGTGAGGCCAAGAAAAGGCGCACAGAGGACAACCTGGATCAGCCCTGAGGGGAGTGTAGGTCACCCCCAGGGTGTCCCCATCAGGAGCGAGGGGCCGGGGTGTTTGTACCATGATACCTGCCAGTCCCTGCTGCCCCTCAGAGGACACAGATGCCCAGGAACGTCGAGCCCCCCAGGGCACAGGCAAGGGGAGCTCCAGTAGCCTGAGGGAGACCCAGGTGCAGGCTCTTGGAAAAGAAAGCACTTCGGGGTCCTCATGCACAAAAACAGTACGGGGCTCTGAGTGGACATGGCAGAGGCCTGACAACATCGGCCACAGCCCCTCTCCTCCTCACTGATGCCACAGTGGCCCTTCTCAACCCAGCTCTGGTCTCTCCCTCCTCAGCTCAATGCTCTTCCCAGCCCCACCAGCCCCAGGGAAAATCCAGCCTCCTCAAGCCTGCCCCACAGGCCTCCACAACCCGCAGCCCCCAACTCCCACCCTGTTTTACAGTCTGCCTTCCTGGAGGGCCTGCAGTCTCCCCATGCACACTTGCCCTCTGCCCAGCCTGTGCCCCACTGTGCCCTCCTCCTGAGAGCCCCCCAGGCTTGCCCACCTGGCTAACCGCTCAGGCATCATCACCTTCTACAGCTGGGTTACCACTCAGCACACCCGTGTCCCTGCTCCTCAACCTCATCTAGACCTCCGCTCCTCAGCCTGGGCCTCCGCGGCCCTAGTGGCCATCCCCGTGAGGAGCAGAGGGACCTCGGGGGTGCACCGGGTAAGTAACAAAGGGGTGGTGTTGTGGAGGGAGGGCATGGCCCCCACATGCATGTAAGCCGTTGGCTCCACCAGGCACCGTATGTTCCTGCACAAGGACCCAGCACCCGAGTCTCGAGTCTTCATCGGCAGCTCAGGATCCTCCTCCAGCCCTGCCATGGGAACTGAACACTTGCTGGGCAGTACCTCCTCCTCCTCCCCCTCCCACGTCTCACAGGCCATGGCAGAAGCCACCTGGCCACCTGGGTCAAACCCAGCACAGAGCCGATCTGAGTCAAACACCAACTGTGGGTGGGAGAAGCCAGTTGGCCAAGACGGCCACTTCACTCCCCGATCCATCCTGTTCCTTGAGCTGTTGAGCTCGGGCTGTCACATTCTGATGTGATTCAGAAAGCTGTGACATGTGGCATCGTAGCATGCAATGAACCTGCCGGCGGCTTGGGCAGCCCCAGGGCGAAGAAGCCACCAGCCTGTCCAGTGTGCCGTCTCCCGCGTCCATTCCCAGCACCTGGGCTGCTACTCCCCACCATCTGCCCCACCAGCAGAAGGCCCGCGCTCCCCTCCGAGCCTCGGGCTGCAGATGATTCTCCCGCCCGGGGTGAGGATCAGCTCCTGCCCGCTCTTGGCAGGAAGGTGGGCGAGTGGGCAGAGGCCTGGGCTCAGGACCAACCTCCTTGGACACTCCAAAACTCTCAGGGGGAAGCAGAAACTGCCCTCAGCCACCTGCTTCATCCCCTGGGGCCGCCAAGCCATGATCACGATGCTCTGCTGACCATTCAGTTCCGTTTAGTTTCAGGTGGCATCAGGTCCCAGTGTGCACCACAAACAGCATGGCGCCAGGGGGCTGGGGAGAGGACACGATGCTGCTGCTGCTGAGCATGGCGATAATCAGAGCCACCGAGACAAACAGCACTTTCTGTGTCCCAGGGACTCACTGAGTATTCTACGTGAATTAAATTATTTAAGCTTCCAATAACCCTACGGCATGAGAACCCTTTTGTCATCCCTGTTTTACAGATGAAGAAACGTATGCACAGAGTGGTTAAGCAACTAACCCTGGGCCACACAGCCAGTAAGAGGAATCGGGCTTTGAACGCACAGAGTGGCTGCTGGCTACGAGGCTGAGCCCAGCATTCTCCATAATGAGTTCTGGGTCCCCAGAATTCGCCGAAGGAAGACACCTGTATTTTTCCTATCACAGCTGTGGAAATTGAGGCTCAGAGAACTTGCATGACTCGCCCAGGGCCACGCACAGGACCTGACCTTCAGTCTGCTGGGCTCCAAAGCCCATGCCCTGAATCACTATGCTTGACCGCCTCCTGCAGGCTTACTGCCATCCACACTCATTCCCACACTTTGTGGGAAACCCTGTTTTCCACTCTGAGCATCATGGACAACAAAGCTCTGCAGTGGCCCCAATTGCTTAAACTTCCCTAAGAGATGAGGCCCCTCCCCACACCCCTCGGCCCTACTCTGGTGAGGATCCCAGCCAGCCCGCCCGGCAGCCGCCTGGCAGGACTAATTCAGACACACACCAACCTGATCAACCTTAATACAATCAACATCATCTCTCAAAAGTGACCCTGGCTTCTCCATCTTCTGCTGATTTTATTAGGAAGGTTTGTATAAGCAATGGGTATCTCACGACACACACAGGGTGCCCTCCACCCCAAACCTCCCATCCTGGCTGTCTGATACTGCTGCAGGAAGCCGTCCACACTGACGTGCAAAAGCCCAAGGACGCCCTGGGACCCGGGGGGTCATCAGGTACCTTGAGAGGAGCCGGCTTACTCCTGCATGAGTCACTCCCTATTTATGGATATTTCCTGTAAGTCACTGCCGCTGCATTCAGCCAGACGATGGCGAACCTCAGCAGCCTGGTGGAAAAGACATGAGCTAAGAACCAGGAAGCCCTGGATTCAGATCCCACCCCACCACTTCCTGGCTGTGTGACCTTCACCAGCGACTGGACCACTCTGGGCCTCGTGTTCCTGGTCTGTACGGTCACAATGGCAATGCTGGGCTTACAGGGCGACAGAGAGGCTCCGGAAGACGCTGGGTGCTCAGTAAATGTATTCCCTCCCCACTCCACCCCCGGGTGTCCTTGCAGACCATCTGGTCCAAGGGCTGGGAACAGATGGTTCCTGGGTGCATCTTGTCGGCTGCCTCGTCTGGCCCACGCAGGCCTGCAAGCAGCATGGTGAGACCAGCGCTGAGCCAACCCAGCGCAGCAGCAGCCTAAGCCAACACTCTGGTCACAGAGCTGGGCTGCCTGCAGCCCTCTGCCCGGATGGAGGGAAGAACTGACAAATCAGGACAGCTACAGCCCAGAACCAAGTAACGGACAAAGACTGACAGTTCAAGTGGCTACCAAGTGCTCGATGCAGACGAGAGCTAGTCTCCCCAGGTACAGAAACCAGGCTGATAAATAAGACCTAGGCCCTGACACTTATTACAGGAGGTCCGTGTCTGCAGAGGCCAGGGTGGCCAGGGCCCGGGGCCGGGAGGGGGGTCTATCACCAGGTCAGCCCTCTTCTGCACCCATTTTCTTTCTCAATCCTCCCAACAACAGCAGAGCCTAGTTGCTACTTCTCCCATTTTACAGATGAGCAGACTGAGGCTTAAGGAGGTCAAATAACTTGCCCCAGGTCCCCCGGATAGGAAGTAGGGGAGCCAGGAGTCCTGGGAATTCCGAATGCACCATGCCACTTACTCTCAAGGGTTCTCCCATGTGCAATTTCCCCCCAAGGGTCTCAAAGTCACCCTGCTCCTTCTCTCTGCCTCTCCCTGTCTCATTGCTTCAGAGACCCGATTCTGCATATCCAAGGCTACTAAGGGTGGAGGGACTTAGTTTCTAAATTTAACATAAGGAAGCTGCACACGGAAGGTGCACAGACGTCCAATGTCCCTGTGTTTCCAAGTGATGACTAGCTGGGCAGATGGTTTTGCACTCAGCAGTTTTTACTGTGACATATGATAATGATCCCGCAGAGATCAGAAAAATGTCCAGAGATCGTTTCTGCGGGGCACCTTCCCATCCATGGCCAGGTGGCATCAAAAACCTCCCTGAGCCTTTTCAGGGTGACTCCTGGTCATCTCCGTGCACCAGCTAAGAATATTCCAGATTCTTGCGTTCACTGCCCAGCTAAGACAGTATATGCTGGGATCATTGGCACATCTGCATCAGCAACTGCGCATTTAATTAATCCAACTGGAACCAATTTAGGGGAAGTTAAGTTTGGAGAAGGACAGATTGACAGAGGGAGTTAGGCTTTTGCATCTGTGAACCAAACATCCAAAGAACAAACGAAGTGGCCGCACTCATCTTACAAAAAGCCATAGCTTCATACATAGGCTAGTGAGATTGCAAAGTTAAAATTGCAAGAAAAGGGGCACCTGGATGGCTCAGTCTTTAAGCGTCTGCCTTCGGCTCAGGTCACGATCCCAGGGTCCTGGGGTCGGGCCCGCATCGGGCTCCCTGCTCCGCGGGAAGCCTGCTTCTCTCTCTGCCACTCTCCCTGCTTGTGTTCCCTCTCTCGCCGTGTCTCTCTCTCTCAAATAAATAAATAAAATCTTTAAAAATAAATAAATCAAAAAAATAAAATTGCAAGAAAAGCGGAGTTCTACATGTGTAACTTTCACTAATCCAAGTGGCTCAAGAGGCCTTTCTAAGCACCAAGGTTCCTGCTCCCTCCAAACATTCTCCTGCCGACGTGGTGTTCTGAGGGAAGCAAAGGGACAGCCCCCCTCCGCCGCCAAGCCTCGGCCCTCATGTGTCCCCGAACTTGGAATAGAAATCTGCTGCCCCTGAGTGGCCACGTGGCCTCAAGTCCACCCGAGGGGCCCCATCTGGGTGCTGGGCAAGGACCACACCCTGACCCTGAGAGCTGGCATTTCCCAAGTGTGGGCTCTGCTGCCTCCTGGCTGAGGGACGCTGAGCACAGCATCCTCACCTGTAAAAAGCCAGTGACAACCTACCCTAGGGGGTCACGTTGAAGATTAAGGTAAAGAGCTCAGACTGTCCCTGATCCATAGGAAGTGCCCACAAAGTCAGTTATTATCCTGAGACTCTAGAACTCGGAGGTGAGCCTGCAGCATCTTCAACCTCTCCTTCCACCGCCCCCCACCCCACCGCCACCAAGCACAGCCTGACCTGGAAGAGCACAGGACATCACTTCCCTAGCCCCGCCCCCACCCACCCGCCAAGCCTGCCAGTAAAATGCAAGCCTGCTGGATGGAGGGGAGAGGGATGAACCAGGGCCTTATTCGGGCAGCAGCTGGTGAACAGGCTCAAAGCGCTAAGAGACTGGCGGGAGGGGCGGGGAGGTGGACAGTGCTTGCAGGGAGGGGAGCGGCCTCCCTTGGGCAAGGGACTCCCACCTTGAGACCCACAAGGTGCAGAAGGAGACCCGGCAGAGGCCCTCACACCCTTCAGCCGGCTGGGGACAGGAAGCCACGGCAACTCCCAACACACCAATGCTGAGGGAGCCTCCCACTCTCCGTTTCCATGGGGATCCCCTTGAAATAACCCCATAACAGGCTGCTGTCTTCCCTGCGGAGGAAGTGCTCAGGATAAATGTGATGGAGGGAATGGAGGGAGGCGGACTCTCACCCGCACACAGGATGCCATGGAAATTTCAAGGCCCAGGGCTCAGCCCAGCGCCACCCACCCACTCACTCGGGCAGCAGAGGTGAGCAGGGCCTGGGGGCTGACTTAACCTTGATTCCTTGCTGGCACAGGGGGGCAATAAGACCACTTCCTTGGCAAGTGAACAACAAGGAGGAAATTACCCACAGCATCTAAAACAACATCCATCTGTGTCCCTTCGGGAGGGCCCAGGTTTGCAGGGACATGGCCTGGGTCTGTCATCCCAGCGTGACCTGCACAAGCCCCTGACTCAGAGCCTCCACGTTCTCCAGGGCCTCGGGTAAGAGCAGATACAGAAGCACCTGCAGCTCACACACCACTGCCTCCCTCCCCCGGCAGCATGACCGTGCTGGCCTCATAATCCTAAAATATTATGGAAAAGTTCTTCGGTTCATGCCATCGAAGGATTTTGAGCCCCTGCTTAGGGCAGGGAGAGCGGGGGGCTCCCATGCATTCCCCGTGGGGTGCAGTTGGCAAATGAGAAGAAGAAGAGCACCTGGCTAGCGAGAACAGTACTTGCCACAAACACGGACCGGGCACTTTCTGTGCCACACGGTCCTCAAAGCCACACTCAGACTTTGAGAACTGTTGCCCCTACTTTGCTGATAGGAACACTGAGGCCCCGAGAGGTCACACGGAGAGGGTAGCAGGGCAGGACTTGGGTCCAGGTCCCCTGACTTGCTCACAGCCCACTCTGGGGCCTCCCTGCCCTGCTCTGCCCTGCCCGGGTCGGCCCACCTTCTCCAGCTCCAAGCTATGGCTGGATGAAGGCTCAGGCTCAGGACCAAATCTGTCCCTCAGGGGAGGCCCCCCCAACCTATGCTGCATGTCGCTATCCCCGCCATCTGGATCACCCCATCCCTCCACCTAGTCCCAGGGTCCCCTCCTCCCTCAAGGCACCATGGCTCCTGGGACTCAGGGAGAACCGCCAGCCAGAACCACCAAGGCCAAGGTGCTTGGGCTCTGCTGACCTGGGAGGTGGGAAAGCTGAGGTCCAGGAAGCTAAGAGACCCCCTCCAGGGCCTTCAGCCAGGAACTCCTGGAGCGGGGCAAAGGACAGGAACTGCCATCTGTATCTGGCTGTCCCCCTCACCCCAGGAGAGCAAAGGAACCACAAGACAGTGACTACAACCCCAAAGGGAATGTGCTGCAGGAAGGCCCTACATCAGGTTAAGTGAGGTCCTGGTTAATGGGGGTTGGGGCACAGTGCGGACCCCAGCAGGCAACTGAAA